CGTTGCAATAATCTAGCACACTATTTCACTTCTCTCTCTCTTTCTCTCTCTCGTGAAGATCCGACAGTCATTTATATTTATGTTTCGTTTCAATGTTGCTTTCGGCGCGCAATAACAATAGAGTGGACGGATGATAGCGAAGCTTAAGAATGACGTTATGGCAATGGTGAGATAATAACGAGAACACTGGACTAGAGTATCGTGAGAGAAAGTAAGTACATGGATGTTCGGGGGTGCTTCATCTACGCGATACAGAGCGAAAGAAAGCAAGAACTTTTCTCGCAAGAAGAAAACTGAACTCTCATCTTTTCCCGGTTTTATCCTTCCGTCCGTTTGCACCTTCCTTAATTCTCGCCTCTCCACGGGGATAAGGTAGAACGAAGGTTGCCAAGACCGTCATTAATAACTTTTAATATCGTTCGCTGCCCAGGAAAGTCATTTCCGGATATTTGTTTCACCACAATATCGCTGGGTTAGCCAGTACCGCTATTTATTGTGATTACTGCCGCCATGCCGCTTAATAATCTTCTAATCTTAGAATTGACGAGAAAATTGTTTACTTCAAGGTTTATTTTACGGAACAATAATATTTTTCTGCGCTCAATTTTGAGTTATCTCGCACAATTTTGAGAAACTTTAGGCATGATAAAATGAATGAAAACAAATAATTATACATGTATGTAGAATTGAATGAAGATTTTAACAAATAAATAAAATACAAGAGAACTACAACTTTTTCTTCGTTTGTTGTCGAACTTTAATAAGATAAAAATAAAATAAAAATAAAATAATTTTCTTCAAGTATTTATGTAGAAGAAAAAATTGTAATTTTCTTATATTTTATTTATTTGTTAATCTTATTTTTATAAACATATTTTTAAATTGGAAAATAACGTATGTGAGAGTACGTATTGTTTTATTATGCTTTGTTTATCTCTCTCTGCTTATTTATACATACGGCTGCTATTTTATACATACCGCCATTAAGATCGCGATAGCGTTAGCAAAGTTAACGAAAGTCGCTACCAAACTTCTCAAGATTCATGTCTTCATTACGACAGTGATGTAGGGGAATAATTTCTCATGCTACTCTATATGTACAATTTAGTATCAAATGTTTCCTAATGACTTTACATACAAAATTGATATTACCTTTAATATTACAAAATGAAAATTGAATTAATAATTTTTATTGTTAATGTTATTATATTAAATTATAACGAAATTATAACAATTCAAATAAATTAAAAATATTAAAATTCTTTTAATAAATATTCTTTTTATGTGTGTAGTATTTTATATTTTACAAATTACGTTTACAATACATTTTTCATCCGTGCTTTTCCACAATTTGTATTTGAATATTATAATTTATTTTAATAGTGAATTAAATTCAGATACGTATGTACCATGATTTTTAACTCTTTCTAAGAAAATATATTTGCATTCTTTTGCACCGAATAGAGATCTAGTTTAATCTCTGGAGAGCTACTTAGTGAGGGAAGTTTGTTCGATCGTGAAGCTTTCTTGTGGAAAAGCACTGGTTAGCCTACCACTAGGGTGACGAAGAACCCTAATTATCACTTGGTCGGATATGGTAGGATCGTTCGCAGAAATCTGTCCCACAAATCTTCGTGCTTTCATCGACTCTCTTCTCGGTCTTTTATTTCTTTATTTCTTGTTTTTTATCTTCATCTAAGATTTGCCTCGCTTTGATTTCATTCTCTTTATAACAATATTCATTATTTATGATTAAATTTATTTAATATTTTTATTGAAAGTATACATATACTGGGAAGATTAAAACTATATCTTATGTCAATTCACTCTTTGATGATAATACAAATATATTTTTTACATAAATGTAAATTAAATATTAGTTTGTGAATGATATTGTTTACAAATTGTTTGTAATAAACTATTATCTTTTTATACATATCCTTTTTAAAAATTTTGCTTCATTTTAACCAGTAGTGAAACCACTATAACTTTGTCGAGTCTTTTATTTCGTAAAATGAATCTCTCTCAATCTCTCTCTTTTTCTCTCTTTCTCCCTTATATAAGATTGTATATTCCTTTTTTTTGTTATGAGTGAATATGCAGTATTTTCTTGTTTTCATTACTGATAATTAAATTTCTTGAAATGTTTATTGTTTTTAAATCTTATAAAAAAATAAACGCAAAACGGAATATAATTTAGTACTAAATATGTGATATCCATGAATGTGTATTTAAACAATTAAAATAGCGTTAAAATATCATTTCATATTTCATAAGGCGTCTAAATTGATTCACACGTGCGGTGTAGCTTATTGAGGAATGAGAAGAGGAATAATCCTGGGATCAACGAATCCAGAGGTTCATGAACTCGAAGATTCGACGACCCGAATACGTTTTATTTACCTCTGAAGAGTGGGTTCTAAATTTCGCGTCTCGGCGGTCCTACTAAAATCACCCTTTTTCTCCGTGATGAAAAGGGATAGGGAATATTTTCGAGCCGGCTAACCATGAAATGAGATACGCGGAGAAGTTGACCCCAGCAGGTATATAGTGATCGATGAAGGTTCGAGGGATCTTCGTACTTGGAACTCGCTACTTTGTGCATGAACATCATTTTGTCGTCGGGCACCTGTGTACGTGCTCACGGTAAGGGTCGCATGTGTTCATATACTCTTGGTCGAGATGATCCTACTCTCCGAGCACTAGACGATGTTTTCCTTTCGAAAGAGAATAGGAACTTTTACACCGCTCGTCTAGGGATTTCTCTGGAAAGGGCAGCTCCCTCGATAGATAAACCTTCAGGAAGGATATGTAACCGTCACCTCGGGAAAAGTGACGTCTATCCTTTGGACACTCCAGATCGCTTGTTCACCAAATGTATGTGAGTGGATGAAATGCGAGAGTTGTCCGAGTGGTTTCTCCAAAAATGTCGATAACAATATACTTCTTCTTAATCTTCTTATATTTTTGGCGAAAACGCGAATTTATCGTTATTATTAAGTAGAAAAAAAATAGTACTTAATATCAATCATAGTTTATTATTATATATTAATATCAATATTAATTATGAACAACATAGATATGCCAGTAAAGTATTGTTGTCAATGATTATAATATTAATCTTTTTGATTATCTATTACCAATAAAATATGCTTAATAATTATTAACGGAATTTTAGAGCATTTTGAGAACATTTTAACATACTTTGCTAATTCGTAACATTTGATACAAAAATTTATAATTGAAAATTTACTAATTTTTTATTCTGTTTACGTCAGAGATATAATTACAATTCAAGAAAAATTATCTATTTATTATCCAAGTTTATTTAACAATAAACGCAGAATAATATTATTTAAATTAAAATTTATCTAAATAAAACGTAAGTAAAATATAATTAGTAAAATATAATTAGTAAAATTTTTGCAATTAAATAATTGTGTATTATCAAACTTAATTTACAAGCATGCAATGTTTATTAAATCTTTTAAATGTGAGTTATATTTTTGAACAAAAATTTATATTTTAATTTCTAGATTTATTTTCAATTATCGGTTTTTCAAAAATTTGATAAAATTTAATTTGACTATTATTTTAATATCCTAACAAAAATCATTTTATTGTAATAAAAATGAAATGCGCATAAACAAATAATAAATCCAAATTGTTAAAGTCAGTCGATATTTTTTATGGTTTTTATCACGAATTTGCCAAACGATTTCAATCGTTTGAAAACGATTGACGTTTTCGAATTGACATATCAAAATTACATCGCGAAATGAGACGAGAATATTCGGCGCCTATTCTTTTGAAAACGACGATAAAATAAAATTATAGGTTTAAGCTGAGGGCAGAACGATATGACAATGAAATCGTGTTAATTTTGTGGATATAGCGGTCGTCGTTATCTTACACAAAGAAAGCTTTCTATGTCTCGGATCCATTTGCGAGTAATATTCGCGAAAACTGACATAAAAATCTAGATATATGCTATGCGGAAACGCTTGTCGAACGAAATATCTCTCTACACAGTTGAAATCCTCAAAGAAATATTTTATAACAGCTATCCGCGCGTAGCATGTTCGTTGCCGGAAACCCAGATGTATTCAGCCGTGTTTCGTCATTGCGAATTTTATTTCTACTCTGTGTCTTCCTCTCTTTTTTTGATTATCTACACGATTGTCACAAAGGATCGTCTCGACCAAGGAACAGTATCACTTCAACGATTACAAGATGGATCGATGATTCGACACAATTATAAAAATGTGAAGTTATCGATTTTTTTCTCTTAATGAAAGTTATAAATGAAGATGAAAGAACTGTACGGTAACAATATTTTAATAAAGTCGTGAAAAGTATACAATAATATTAAAGAATTATTGTATTAAAATTTACGGAACGATATTGTAATGTCAAAGACATTTTACCTCTCGAAGTGATTTTAAGTTGCAAAATACTGGGACATAAATTTACAAGTTTTATAAATTAAAGCGCTTATTCTTCTTTGGGCAGCATCTTCGTTCCAAGCACAATAATAGATTGGAAGAGATGCAACGGGAAAACAATAAGTTTTCGTAAGAAAACAATAGCGTTCCTGTCAAGCGAGCAAAAGCGACCAGAATTTATTATGAATAAATCTGCGTCATATATATTTATCTCGATTCTATTCTAAATGTTTTATCTTACTTTAAGTGAAACTTAAAGTAGACATTCCCGAGACTTTGGTAGAACTGGTTTTTTAAAGAGATCCTGATAATATATATTCAATTGAAACTGTTCAAATTGTATGAAATTTTATGCATGATTAAATTTATTTTTTATTAAATTATTTAAATAATTTGTTAAATCACTGTTCCACATAGTCTCATAATAATCTTGTTTAAGAATAAAATATCCTACAAAAGTGTGATAATGCGCTATGTATTATTGAATTCTTAATTAAAATTATTCATAATGTTATATCTTATTTCAATTATTCATAATGTTATATCTTATTTCAGATGAAAATGGGAACGTGTTGGTTCGCAGTTTGGGTGCTCTTTGTCTGTCTTATCGGTGATGTACGACCGCAATACAGAGATAAGAATATAAGTGAGTATCTATATTGAAATCTCTACTGTTTAATTATTCTAGAGTTACAAAATATAAATGTTCTGTGGAATAGCTATAATTGAGAGAATTTTTAAATTTTTGATATTAAAATGTTCAGTATATACATATAGTATTAAATTACTGAAATAAAATTGCTATTAAAATTAGTATTGACAAAAGGATAATTAGGCAAAAAATTTTTTGTTTTTAAACAATATTTTCATTCAATTACTGATACAATTAATAAAGAGATGAATCTTAATATTCTAAATGAATATATCGATTATGCGCTATAAAGAGACTGGCAATTCGTCTTACTTCAACTTTAACGAACCATTTTATTCGTGAAAGCAAATCCAGATCTACGATTGCCTGGCTGCACAATGACAGATGATCTTTTGCGCTTCGAAAATGACATTGCTATAGAGACTAAGTGCTCGATAAATTACCTTTGCCCGGTCTCTAACTGTCCATCCATTTTACGCAACTATCATTGAGATAGTCATGCTCAAACGTTTCACTCGTCGTCGCAATAAATTAAGCGGTTAATCGTAGAGAAGTGATGAGCGCACAAGCAATTATGCGGCTTGGTGAATGCACATCGCTCGAAAATAACACGTCGCGTTTAAACCAGTGTTGCGCAAATCGTTGGACATTAAATTCGTGAAATTCGCGCACCCATTGTAATTACTTTTAACTTCCATTCGGTGACTTGTCAAACGAACGAGTAGTAAGTGTCGTTTTATGATTTAGTCGCGGTTTGCAATCGTTGACGCAGAAGTTAAAATGACGTGCGCGTTGAAAGGCTAATTATTCGCGAAATAATTTTGCTTTCGCAAATCTAAATTAATCTGCATGACAGAACTGCAATTTGAAGTTTACAAAAATAATTTATATTTTTATGAAATATATAGAATTTTTCTCGTAAATGTTTGAAGAGGATAACCAATTGATTGAATCAGTTTGATTTTCACATGTTGTCACTTACATGTTGTTACTACTCTGAGTAACAATCAAAAAATTTTAATCGTCGTTGTTTAAAGAGTTATAAATAAAAAAAAATACAAATTACATGTAAAATTTATAAAACAATAAATTAATAGTCTTTTTGTGAAATTTTTTTGTTTATAATTTTTAAATTAACGAACAAATTTTTTGATGATTATTCAGAATAGTGATCCTGATAACATATATCTATTCTAGCTAAATTTTGACAAGCTCATTAAAATACATAAAAATCTTGCATTAAAATACATAAAAAAATATATATAATATTGATATAATTTTTTATTCCTGCTTTTCTGTCTTTTTTACAAACGTTGTAAATTTGTACGATATGTATATATTAGTTAAAGTGTATAAAAAATAATTTTTATCTGACCTTAATTATGTAAAATAAGTTGCATGTAATTAACGATCGTCGATCTCCGATAAAAATTTATTTTTTGATAATTAATTACATCCTTTTTTAAACTTTACGTTCCTTATTTTAAACTTTACGGGATAAAGGATTATTGATTTCAGTAGAGTCATCTATCTGATCGTTTTTATTCTTTTCATTAACCTTGTTTTCTTGCACATTGTACAAGATAATTTGAAATCAATAGGAGTATTTTTCTTCGCTGAAAAATCTCATGTTTCACGGTATTTAATTGTAATAAATATCCGTACATTTTCTGATGAGAAAAGTTTATTGTTCATTGCGATAGAGACTGCAGGAAATTAAATCTACATCTTTATTTCGTCTTTCCTTCAAAGATCTTTAATTTGTCCGAGTTACTTGAAATTGCGAAGGATGTATAGAGTCTTAATGTTTTCTTTTTCCTAGCGCACACGAGAACGATTTTCCGCAGGATTAAATCCTTTAGAACCGACACGAAGTTAATTAGACCCACGTGTCGCCTTCTACCGATAAGGATTACAACATTCTTCCGTACTTTATATTCTCTTTGCGTTTTATCTGCAAATATATAGACATCTAAGACATAAGAGGAACATAAATTTCAAAAATTGCAATGGAATTTAATCTACGATATCAATTGTATAATACATTATATGACGCCGTTATTCATCAAACATTTATTTATGAAAAAACATAAACTCTCTATTAAATTTATGTAAAATATATCTAAAATGCTTTACATATATTTAGAAAAATATAGAGAACGACATGTAAAGAAAAAAAGAATTATAATTTTAATGTAATTGCAAAAATAATCAAGAAGGATATAATGTTTTTCTAAAAAGAAACAAGATATACCTGTAGTAAGTAACGTTTACAATCAATTTTTTTGTTTTGTTAAATTTATTGTACATTTATGTATGTACATCATCAGTAGTTTTTACTCTTGATATTTAAGGATCATTTTTTAATAATGTCAATTTGCGTGGTAAAGTGAATAAAATATATATTTATATTCCAAGTATAATCGCGTCCAAAATATATTGAACGAGAAAATCGTTTGCGTTTGAAATGAAGCGCGGTTGATTCTCATATATGTCGACTTCCAGATCACGGAGCTGCAAAGTTCACCTCCGAGACAGACTATAATGGAGGCTAGAATACCATGTCTCGCAGGTAGTTTCTGTAGTTTCCACATAAAATTTTTGCAGCTCGAGCGATCACGAAATGAATACGGCGAGTACAGACACTTTATTCGCTCAATAAACTTGAACCCAACGAAATCGAGAGGCTTTTGAATTCGAGTGAGTGTCGACGAATGATGCGAGATTGGAAGCAGATTGGAAGAATATATCAGCGATATAGAAGGAAATTCGACGTCACTGATCTGATCCTCGAATAAGACGAGGAGGATGGTTAAAGGATCGAATTAAGTGAGAATATAGCGCGCAAAAAAGTTGAAATGAATATCTCCGCCACGAAAAATCCTGGGAAAATTCTTAGTCGTCCTCTCGTACCTGTTACGTTTGAGAAAATCGCTCGCGGGCACTATTTTATTCATCCTTCGAATTATGGAAATCTTTTATAAAGTATTCGATTCGCTTCTCCTATTAACGATTAAAAATGAAACATACCTTTATTGAGTTTTAAATGATTTATTCCACATTTCTAGACTTCTATTGAAAATTCTTTTCTTTGTGCATTTTAAAAATAAAAAGAAATAATTTTTACTTTTAATATATAATATAAAAATCAAATTTCATATCGGTATTTTTATCGAGTCTTGATAAATTGTGGTAATATTATTTTAATATTATTTTAAATTGCAAAAATATTTCTATTAAAATATCTAACTTAAATGTAATTTGTTTTGAAGAAATTATATCAAATTGAAGTGATTACAGTTGAATTAAATAAATTTGCGTTAGATGTGCACTGTAATTTATTAAATTGTTTATTTATTAAGGAAATGTTATGAAAAATATAAGCAGCATTTTTTTAATGTGCGTAATGATTGCACAGGTCGAGGATGTCGCAGTAAAAAGCTTTCTTCGCAAAGAGAACTTCGGAGTTTGTTAGACTTGTCTAGAAGCATATAATAGGCAATCAGTGTTGGACAGATGTAATTAAAGCGGAATTGAAATCAGGGTTTTCCCCTGAGCGAAGCGAGTAGGTTCTCGTCGTTGGAAAATTGGTACCTAATTGATATTCCGACGAAAATTGAAAATTCTATTTTAATGGAAACCGGTGACACTTAATGAGAAGCGGAATTTTCATTCTGGTTGCGTGTGACGATGATATCGTCGGATTATAGACTTCCTGTTAATGGACTCCGTAATAATGTAAAAAAGAATAATAAAATTTTACAGTCGTAACGATAATCTGCGAACATCGCTATGATTTATATACTCGAGTAAACGAATCGACATTCGATACGATAAAACTTTGCTTGCAGCGTTTGATTAAACTGACGTATTTAACGTTAACAACATCGGACAATACTCTGCTGTCTCTTCTCTTTCAAAATTCGTTTAGCAAATGAATCGCGAACGCAATGATCGCTGATGCTCATTGGTCATCCTGATCACGATTTCATCGAATTATCCTGTTCATTGATTAAGCTTTTGTTTAAATACGAAGATCGGATTATTCGGAAAATTACCACGGTTGTTGATTATCTTATATGCGATAACAATAGAATAAAATTATTGCAATTTGATTTTATCTTGATTTATATATATGTGTAAATACGATGAAAAATTTGTGAAACACGAATGTAGACGTGAAAATAATCAAATATTTAGATTCTTAATTATTATATTAGAATTTAAGATTATTGTTGCAATTGTAAGGTTTTGACGTAAAAATGATTATTGTTATCGCTATTGGCGTCGGAAGTTAGCGTAATCGTAGTACAAAATGAGCCGACACGAGCTTAACGCTGCACGTTTAGATAAGATTTTAATGCAAATCGGATTTGCGTCCGAGCGTTTATGGCGTGCCAACATCGCAATCCACGGTGAACGACCGTTCGAATCTATTTCGAGGTATGATTTACGTTACCCCGTACATGCGCGTCTCCCTTTAACACCAGCACGCCATGCTGCTCTTTTCTCTTTCTCTCTCTCTCACTCTCACTCTCACTCTCACTCTCTCTCTCTCTCCCTCTCTCTCTCTCTCTTTTTCTTTCTATCCCTTTACCCTTGTTCCCATTCAAACGAAAAAAAGGCCCATTGTCCGCCCGATGCAGCACTGCATTGTATGCGTAGCTGCGATACCTCGATGATTTTGCACTCTACGGTTTCGTTGCTGAAGCCAGGTATATTCGTTTTGCGTCGTCTGCCAACCAGTTAGATTGTCACCATTCGTATTTCCAAGGATTTTTCAATTTTATATGAAAAAAGTTTTTAACGAAAAAAAAGTTATGACTATATGCTAGGAAAAAATATTGCTTTAAAAATTGCATTTAAGAAAGAAACAAACTTAGGAAAAAGAATCATTAAAGTACGCAAATAGCTTGACAAAGTGATGTTTTAGTCGATACCTATGTTATCCTTAGTTTAAAATCGTGATTCTATGATTATAATCTTTTAGCAAA